AATGGAGACCAGCCAAGGTGGCCAAGAATTATAGGAACAAGACTGTATAGACCACCATTATGTTTGCCAAAGACAAAATAAAAAATCTAATCCATCAAGCACAAGACAGAGGAAAACCAACTGATTTAAGTTTCAAGATGGGACATTTGTTGGGAAAGTTGGGGTGGGGGGGTGATGAGGCAAAGACAGTCATCAGTCACTCAGAGAGTGGTGGCAAGTGTGCTTTGCTGGGGCCAGGTCTGTGGTGCTGTTTCGTTAGAACAATACCCCTGCACAGGAGGGCCAGATCCCAATCAGCCCAGGAATGTGGAAGAGGAAGCTCTGGGAACAATGTGCAGCGTTCCTATGCCATTCCCACCCGCCTCTGCCTTGTTCTGCTTTCAAGCAGGAAAAAACAGAACACTAGCAGATTGAGGTCCAGAAGTTGAAGCCCATTCTGCAGTCTGCTGGGGGGGCTGGCCAGTACGCTGTCAGCAATAAGCCTACTACAGTCAATTTGATAACTGAGGGTGTGCATAAATCTGAACTGCTACTCCACCACTGGATGTCAGTAACCTGATACACATCCACCTCAGATAAGTAGAACATCAAAACAATGTTGCACTGCCCCCCGATGGTGCAAACATCTACCACACTCTCAAGCTACAGTCATACCTCTCTGTACACGGTTCTTAAGTTTCACCCGAAATTATGCAGCCATAAAATGTCATTTTTGCACATGTTAAAGCGACTGCCTTGGTGCAATGCTATTTCACAGTGTCTTCAGAGTTAACCTGGAAGTTTTTTTCTTCTAATAAAAGTTTAAAATTCAATTTCAATACAAGCTTATTGTCTATACACAGCTACAGTATTGCCATGTATAATCTGGGCATTCAGTTGATAACACAGATTCCATTATGGAAACCCAAATAAAACGGTTTACATATTTGAAACAATGTGCTTGTGTGCATGCCAGTGTATATCACAACAAACACATCACTTGAGAGACATGCACTGAGTTTCAACATGGAAAAGTGCCATTCAGAGAGGTGTTCCTAATATTCTGACCCTCGTGTACAGTGGATATAAAAAGTTAAAATGCCAGGTTTCTGTGATGTAAAAAAACGAGACCAAGATAAATAATTCCAGAACTTTAGCCACCTTTAATGTGACCTATAACTTGTACAACTCAATTGAAAACAAACTGAAATCTGTTTTTCAGTGGGAAGTAAAAATAAAAAACTAAAATAATGTGGTTGCATTAGTGTGAACACCCTCTTAATGTGGGGCTGTGACTGTTGTCAGAATTAAGCAGTGACATTCAAACTCATGTTAAATAGGAGTCAGTACACCTGCCATCAATTAAAGTGCCTCTGATTAACCCCATATAAAGTTCAGCTGTTCCAGTAGGCTATTCCTGACATTTTCCTAGTCGCATCCTACAGCAAAAGCCAT